TTCGATCTCTGGTAGAACTTGAAAAAGCGTGACTTCACAGGTCTTAAATACTGACCAAACAGATTTAGTTTCACCCTTTTATTCGCAATGGTAACTCGCATAGATAAAATCTAGTTTTAAGGCCATAAGAATTTAGAAAAAATATTTGTTTTAATTATACGGAATGACAGAACAGCTAATTGTCTACAAAACAAAACTTTGCCGAGTTTTCGACGATATTTTTTGAATCGATTCCATTGATATCCATCGTTGAAAATCAAGACTAATTTTATTGATGATGATAAAAATTAGATCAGATTCCAGGCACTCAGTATGATCATGTTGTAGTTACAAGACAATATACTTTTGTTTTTTAGAAATACAGAATGTTTCTTGGAAGAGATATGAGATCTTAAAAGTATGCATGTTTCATCTTTCTTGATTTAGGTGAGGAAAATTTTTCTCTCATAAATAATTCAAATCTTTTGACTTTATGTATCATGGAGAACTCTTTGAATAAACTATTTGCAATTTTTCTACAGTTCTGAACTTTCCGTTTCATTATAACTCTACTCACTTATACCAACCAAATGTCACAAAATCAATGTTATGGAGGGCAAAAGGGTGACTTTGCTAGGGATCTCAACTCATCAGCAAATTAGTTACGGGATGTTTGCGAGGAGTAAAATCAAGACTATTGCGAAGGAACTCCGCCATTAGCGAAACGAAATTTTCGAACTACCCAGAAGTTTTGATAATAAATAGGCGTGCGATAGTGCTTAGAAGATCTCAAAGTAGACAATAATTTACTCATCTTATACTGCAAATGATTCTTCTATTATTTGTAGGTTGGTAAAATATTTTGTGTGGTTATGATCGAATGTTCCCTACAAGAAACATTTTTTTAATGATGTTTGAACAATCGTTAGATCGTATAAAAAAATAACCGAACGGTTTTATCAGATAGTTGAACGTTATACTAACCAATATCACTCAAACAAGATAACGAAATAATCATAAGTAAACAAAAATTTTTAGAGTAAAACATGAGCTATAAAAAAAATAATGGATTTTAAGAACTCGACTATACATTCTGACAATCACTTAAGAACGATTTGATTTTTACTGTATGATTTATAACATTATCTTAGGATATTCGACTTTTAAGAGTTATGAAAAGCGCAACAATAGTTTTACGACTGTATTCTAATCAAAAACTAAATCAATTGAACTTTTCAGTTGTTTTGTCAGTCGGTATAAATAAAAGAATCTTTTATTGTCGAATTCTGAGTGCTGAAACTAATAGATTTCAAATCTTCTAGAGATTCTCGATTTTGAGTATGCTCTCAAGATTCTTTTTCTTTAAAACCCTTGTTGAAAATGATTTCCTCAATTCAAAGCACTTTTTGGGATCATTATTATAGTTACCATTACGAAAAAACATCGAAATTAAATTTGTATGATTAATGTTTGAAACCACTATATATTAGTCAGAAACAACATTTTCGCAGTCAGAAAAAAACTTGATTGTGTAATGCTCTAGCCATGATTTATTTTTTGGTTTACTAGAGTCTATAGAACTGTACCTCCTACTTATAAAAAAAAGTTAACAAAATCTAAATGAAATTTTTTCATAGTATATAGAAAGGTTTTATTTATTTAAAGATGTTTAGCAAAATCGTAGAAAAAAGTGGATTTATATGAATTAGAGTAATTAATATCGATGCTTCTTCGATATACATATCCACTTGGCAAAACTTCCATCATCAGATGTAATTGAACCACTTCCAGCTGGATATTCTTTGATACTTTTATAATGACAAGATGTCGGTCTTCCAACCATGGACGCATCGTTTGGAAACCATTTATGGATATTCATCACCTTCTCTTGTATTAAATACTCTTTACCGTCAAAATGTTATTTGTGTCCTATCCTAGGGTAAGCAGCATCAGCATTAAAATCAACATTGAAGATTATGAAGTTATTTCATTCGGAAAAATGATTGTCTCTATTGAACTTTAGTAATCAAAGATACTTGTATCGGATATCTATATGGTCTCCATCTCATTTATTGTAATGAATCCACAGCTATTTATAGGTTAGTGAGCAATGCCTTGGATATGATAATATCTGAACGAGTTAAGGTAAAAGACTTAACAGATTATAGAGAGAAAGAATCGATGATAAGACAGACAGGGAAACTACATGTGACATAAAGTGAAGAGAAAAATTACAATATAGAAAAAGAAAGATGACAACATATGGATGACGTCTCGAATGTCTATCATAGTGGTCACAAGTTAAACAAGGTCGAACAATTACCATGCTTTTAAAAACCATATGATAGTCAAGCCGAATTATCTATTGAACCGCAATACTACGATATGTTTGTGCATATTTTACTTTCTTGAAGACTATCACTTCTTATTACGGACTTTAGCAAGTAAATTGACTGCTAATCAATTTCAGAGAGTGAGATCATTATGGCACACATGCAAGACGTGTCATTAGACTAATTTGTTGTTGAAGGCATTATCCATATATGTTCGTTTTCTTTCGTTGTGTCAAGTATTTTCTCTAGGGTAGTATAGTTTGGTTTCTTTCATTATTTTCTTTTTTATTGCGTGTGTGCTAACTGATGTATTTTTTCAACTATATTACGTGTCTATTGAAATATTCCACCTGTCTTCTAACATCTATATATATATATCTGTTGTCATTTGTGTGACAAGGAAGAATTGGAATTGGATAACCACGTTCACACCTAGGTGTTGTGATAGCTATACACATGCTCACACACACATCTTACATCGAACCGGCATGGTGTCTAAAAAGGTTCAAGCTGAACCAATCTCATCTATAAAAATGATTGACAGCAGCATAGTGACAAATGAAGAAGAAGTCAGAGCACCTAAAGAAAGTAAGAATGTGAATGATATTCATATTAAATCGATAGATAGATGTATATTCAACCAGAGCTATTCTCGATTTCGTAGGATGTTTTCATATCCGTAAAATTTGCTCTGGGGTCCAGAAAGCGATTGCATATGATTTACACATTTTAAATTTATGAGGGCTTGTGTTGGTAAGCTTTGTAATCGAAATATAATCTACTATTGATGATTGAAATTTGAATAATCAAGCGTAATCGAGCATTTTTTAATTATTCTAAGAACTTGTTTTACATTACTATTGAAAGGCTTTTTTCTGTATCGTTTACTTATGTCTACAACTATATGAAACTGAAAATATTATATTTGTTCTGTGTTATAACTATGAGGACATTACGATAAAAGCTTACTGGTTGTGACAGAAGTATATGCAAATGTAGAGTGATAAATTAACAGTCCAAGTTCGAAGTAAATACCATGGCCTTTTCTTTTTACAAATTCAAATAGTGAAACACCGACGAAAAACATTAGGAATGAGGTATTTATTCGTAACTCATACATTCGTATGTATACATATACATTTGATTGGACAGTAGAGTAGGTAGAGTCATGGCTCTTGACACAATTTTTCTATTGGCTACAACGAATAGAAACGTTTTAGGATTCGTCTGAAATAGTTGATCTTCACTTAAGTGTTGTTGAAATTAACATGTTCTTGTTCAACACTAGAGAAACTATCATTAACATTCAGAGACCAAGAACTCAATCTTTATCAGTTTATGATCGATATTACTAACTATTGGACAACATCAATTTGAAGTCCAATAGTCGATTGGTATACGTAAGACTAATGTATGTACACACCAGTAGTGCAAGCAGTAACGATCGGTTTCAGTCTGCTAGAAGATTATTTTCAAAAAATTCATTATAGATATGTTCTTTTTCTTACATATCGAACTACTTTACCTGATGCCAATGACTATTTCTAGTAAGTAAGTTAACATAAAAATATGCCTAATATATTTTATCAAATCACATTGGTATCAGTTTATGATATTGAAACAAAATTGCATCACTTTTCATCTTATATCATTTATAATAAATCTTTCACAGAACCAAAAAACGATCAGAAAGTAGATCTACGAAGAGACACAGAATATATTTACATTAGGTTCCGAAATTTTGTGTCTAACAAACACTGCATTAGAGTGCAAAGCTAACATAGAATTCGTAGTCCTATAAAATTTTATATTCATTGATAGATGTTAAAATAGAAAACTAATAGAAATAAATATCGAAGAAAAAGCTTCCAATATAATGCTGCAAGGCTAAAATATTAAAAGCGATGGGACTACTTTAACTATTGTGGGGAATGCAAGTGTGAAAAGCAAAAACTTGCTTTTTCAGCAATGCTATTTCTACTATCACCATGTATTGCGAACTCTGATACCGAAACTCACATTTTTTATTGTATTTTAAGAGCTCATTATCAGTGAAGTGTGATGAAGCATTGTGGCTTGACTTACAGGTAAACTTTGATAAATTAAACTCGAGAAACATGTGGATACTAGATTTGACATAGGTAAGCAGTTGTAAAGAATAACTTCGGCAAATACTTGAAGTATCCTTATGTACTAATTGTCGTTTTTTTCGCATTGAAGAACTTCACTGTTTATGTGACAGACAATGACAGGACCAAAAACCAGCATGTAGGAAAAATCATTAGGCCATTATAAACATATAGAAATCTATGTCATGGTCTGCCAATCGGTTACAAGAATATCAGCACATTTCTTGTGATTTTTTGACTAAGCCGCAGCAAATGAGATCAATTTTCTCGCGATACATGTTAACACTCATCCATACTTATGTTTCAAAAAAGCATTCTTTTTTACAATGAAACAGAAGCTTCATGTAAGTTCTGTAGTGATGCATAGCTAGATGTGACTTATCGCGAGGTTGAGTTGATTTTTACATGATCAAAAAAGTGAGCAATATATCATAGCCACTAGTTTTGAAGTATTCATCTGTTTTTCTATTGAAAATACTTATTAACTAATGATTTGCTAGCGAATTACATTAATCTTGAAAACGTTTAATTTTAGATTTTCTTTCATAAAATAACTTTTATGTGGAATCGAAATGAAAACGTGGTGCTTTCACCGATCAATGATGTTCCAGTAGTTCAACCAAAAAACAAAGTATCTCGTCGCCTTTCAATCATTCGTGAATTCAGTTTGAATACATCAACACATGCTTTACCGGGTATTGCTCGAAGTGAAAGTCTGCATAATCGTATTTTTTGGTCGCTTTCATTCATTAGTTTTACTGGTTTAATGATCTATTTTGTTGTCAAAGCGATCTTGGCTTATTTTGATTATCCGACAAGTATGGATACAAGTTTCATTAGTGAATGGCCGCAAGAATTTCCAGCATTTAGCTTTTGTAATATCTCACCACTTCGTCGGGATCTATTTTGGAAGCCTTTCCTAAACTACTCCATCATGAACAATCGGACAAGTGCAAATGACATAGCATGGGACTCACTTTCACTTTTAGATCTTACAAAATTTCTCATATATACTTTGAATAGAAACGAAACACTTGATAAATATTTCTATTCACTTTCATCGATGATGTACAAATGTTCATTTAATGATATGCCATGTTCAGTAAATGATTTCGTTCCATTTACATCATTCGTCTACGGTGCCTGTTATACATTTAATGCAGCATTGAAAAATAATGCCAGTCGAAATACAGTTTATGCCAATGAACATGGTGGTGATGGAAAGCTCTCTATAGGTCTTTACATACATAGTCATCAATATGTGCCTTCTCTAATGGAAGGTAAGTCAACATTTTATTTAACAAGTATTATAAACTGATTTTCTCTATTAAGGGTTTGGTGCCGTGGCTATAGTTCACGATAATACACAATTGCCAAATATTGAAGCAGCTGGTATTGAATTAGCGTCAGGACGAAGACACAAACTGGGATATAGAAAGAAGACAACTTATCTATTATCTTCACCCTATACAACATGCACTGAAAAAGTATCTACAATTATGCAAGCCATGTTTGAATATTACCATAATATTAACTATGGCTATTCTGAAGCACTATGTTATCAACTTTGTGGACAGGTCTATGCGTAAGCGTACTTTAATTGATGATAAAATACCGTAATTTTCATCGTATTTTACCTAATCGAATTCATTGTACCTTAGGTATGAACAATGTGGTTGTGTCAGTCCTGTCCTATGGAATGGTCGCAAACTCTATGTCTCAAGCATGAATCGAGTAGTTTTTGCACCTCTTTGCGAATTCGATAATATGTGTTACAAAAACGCCATCGGTAAACTTTTAACTTCGCCTTTTCTTATGCAGGATTATTGTTCAGAATGTTTACAAGAATGTATAATAAAAAATTTTATTGTACAAACTTCGTCATTATCACTACCAGGCGAATGGGAAATGGAAAAAATAAAGAAGTTTGTTGAAAATTCTACGATTCCATTACCGACAAATTGGTCTAGTACATGGCAAGATGAAATTCGTAAAAATTATCTTACTATCAATGTTGTACGCGAAACAAGTGTTGTCGAAAATAGTACACAATCAGCGAGCATGGGCGTAGTTGATGTTTTTTCAAATGTTGGCGGTCAAACTGGCCTATGGATTGGTATCAGTCTTCTTTCAATCATGGAGCTAGTAGAAATGCTCTATAGATTGATTCGAAACGAATTTCATAAAATTCGAAGAAAGATACAAATGAATAGGCAATAAATCTTGTCTTATCTCTCATTGACAGAACAAATCAATTAAACATTTAACCCATTACTATGTCTGTGAGATATAATAATCTCATGTAACTGTCTTTTGTCGGACTTGTTTTATTACTTTTCTATCATAAAATTATATTCAAACGAAATTAAACCATACATTCGAAAACGAAATGTCAATTCGAGATTTTTCTTGAAAATGGAACTGCATGATTCCATGAGTTCAACAAGATGTGCAGTCGAGTGTTTGTGATTAGTGAAAAATGCTCATATTGAAATCAAACTTCTATTCGAAGCCTCTTGAGTATAAAATCTGTCCAACATATCTCGACATTAAAAATGATAGCTTATTTCAATAAATTGAACACATTTATATGAACTGATCAACAATTTCTTGTTGATACCCGGTTTTCACAAGAATGATAGGCAGTAATAGAATCAAAATGAAAAAAAAATCTTTAACGTTTGATGATTATCAAAATCAATACCGCTGAAGAGGACGTAGGTGTGAGTATTTCCGTCAGTCACACCTAAACCTAGGCCTGCACTCTTATTGCAGTTTCTTTGCGATTGAAATGTAAAACTCAAATATGTCATATAGGCTAGCAGAAAATTTAGCATAAAGGAAAGAATGAAAGATTTATTTAAATATGGATGTAAAATCAATACCAACACATCCACACCCTTGAACAACATTAAATGTACATTGAATATGAGTATTAATCATCGTCTGAATGAAACCAAATTTGGAGGAACCAAATTTTTTTGTTCAAGTATTTGATTAACACTAACTTTTTCTTGAGTTTCAAGGAAAATGTCATTGAATTTTTATTCTAATGTTCTTCTATTTACGAATTCTTTGGAATCAGGTTTATTAATCAAATTCTGCAAACAGAAATACTAGTTCACTTCGTATGTTTAGATGAATCGATGATTTTCTTGCTGAAAAAACGAACCATCTGACATGATATTCTACGAAATCAATTAAATTTCGTCATAAATTCAAACATAGATTATTGCAATATTATTTGTACTTTTTTCATTATGTACACTCGAATATGATATAGTAAATATTCCCATGTGATGTGAATACCCAACCGTGACGTATAGTTGGCAAATAGCACATATTACACATGTACATGTTGCCTACGACTATTCATGTCTACTAAAAAGATATCTTATCTTCAAACGTTACTCATCTAACTTGTTCATAGAATATTCGATGATCTCGATACAGAGACAATTCTCTTTGTAATGAGTTCTGTATGCAAGTGGTTCTATTCGATTGCTAATGTCTACTATTGTTATGAAACAGACTTTCGCTATATGTCAAAATAAGATGTACCTCTCATGGTACACGTTATGATCCTAAAAATGTTATTTCACTGACGTTTTTGGATGAAATGGAGACACTTGATCGAATTCGATTATTTCTTTCCGAGTTTCGTATTGATCAATTTATTCGAGTATGTTCAATGACTCTGTTTGACATAAAAGAGGATTTTAATGAATTTTAACAGCATATCATGAAATATTCTCATGATCATCTATTATATTGCTCTATGATCTTCGTAGGTTAGAATTCAAAGCAGAGGGTTGGGTAGTCAATAAAACACAAAGGTCCATATCATGTGTACTAGAACACATGGCAGTTTATTTTGAGCACAATTGGTGTACAGTTTACTCTATTATTGTTCATTTACTTGATCTACTATCATTGGTTTTGATAAGTATTTATAGGAATCTATTTGATGAGACTATTTATTGCACACTCTGACACCACAGAGCTAAATCATTTAACTTCTTTCTTATTAAATGTCAATTTGAATACAACGATGGACAATGTCGAATAACTTCTTTCATTTTACCTATGCTAACGCATCTTCGACTGATTCTCCAGACATTTTTAACCGATTCTTGATTATTTAGCACGCTATAATGAAAATTGTACTACTGTAGAGTCACTGATTGTATCATTTCGAACATCATTCTGACTCGAAATCAAACATTGGTTTGTTAAATGTGACTACGTGTACAATAATTCTGACAGAAAATTTCATTCCGATTTGATGCTAATCTTCCAAGATAATTTTGATTATCTTAACCGACGAAATACAATTTTGTATTCGGCGTCGAATACCATTAATAACAATGAGACAATCATCGTCAATGCGCATCGATTAACTTTAAACTTGACCCAAATTATGAGTGAAAACATTCAACAAAAACTAAGGGTTATTTTACATTTTCAAATCGATTATTTCTTCTTGAACTAATAATTTTTCTGATGGAAAATCGATAGATTATTATTTGAGTGTAATGATAAGTTTTCTTAAATATTTTTCTTCGACTTATATTGATTGTTACTTGGCTTTTTGGTGCCCATATATGTTATAAGCTTGTAATTGTTGTTAAAAGCACCCTCATGGTTGATGAAGTCTCTCAGAAAAATTCCAATAAAAATGATGAATCTGTTAGAACAGATAGAAGTCGAATCATAGAAAAAAAGTTGTACTAGATCAAACAATGCTAAAAAAAGTGACTCATCTTAGCACTGACGTTTCTTTAATATACAAAGTGTATCTTAAATAAATTTAGGATAAAAATTTTCAAACTTTTCCTCTCACTTTCATTGTATGCAATAATTATTTTTTTGATAGTTGCGAACAATTCATTCATAACAATTTATAAAGAATATTCAAAATTGTTACTATCTACTTTCAATGGATTGCCCAGCATGTTATAAAATAATTTTGAAACAATATATAATGCAACAGTATGAGGCTAGTGGAGTGCAACAGTCTTCAATGTATTTATAGTCTAGTTCCATTCTTACCGAGTTATTAAAACTTTGCTTAATTCTTCTATGAAGATAAAGACCTCAATTAGACTAATTTGGATACCGAGTATCCCAAAATTTTTCGATCCAATCTTTCCGAAAATTGCACTTCTTCATCGATATCATTTATTTCATGAGGCTTTTCAATAATGCATTACTCAGAAAGAGTACATGATATAATTCCTTGATTTGTCATATCAGTTAGTATTCTTTTGATCTTCATGTAAGGAAAGTGTTAGATAAAAAAAAATTTTGACAATACGATTTTAGTGAATAGTTTGGTTTTACATAGAAGAATTCATCAATAATTCAATATCTTGATCAAATAATAATAAAATTATTAAACACTTCCAATATTTTTACAGCTCAGTGGTCGCCTACTAATGGAAGAAATATACGCTCGCAAATAGTTTTAGTGACAGAAAAATGCTATGTTTCTGTATTGAAGTAAAATAGTAGCAGCTTTGAAATTCTTTATCAATCGTTATGAATAAAAATTTTGAACTATTTGATTCTCAAGAAACCTTTGAAATGAACATTTGATACAGCATTACATTTAAAGAAATTCTCTGTCCTAAGTGTGTAGTACACAGAAATCACAATTCTAAACTATGAAGAAAACATGTTCAGAGAAACAACTCTTATAATATGTACATGTCTTAATATAAATAAGCAATAATAGTATGTACATCCTCGTCGTTCGATACTGTAGAAACTGCTCCTATAAAAAATGTTAATTATTTGAAAAATAGTTTACTCAAGTCTTACGTCTGTTTGGTTAAGCGAGACGAAGTATTTTTCAAGCAAAACAAACCTTGTAAAAACTCTACACGAACAAAAACATGATTTTCCCTGATGAATTTGTTACAAATGTATTTTTATGACCGCACTATTAAAATTATATTATCAATAGATCTCAAAAAAAATAATTTGATCATTGTATGCTTATAGTTTCTAAAAAATAACTGCTTTCGATCGATATGTAATATTTTATCTGAAGTTAGTTTCGAGAGAATATCAAAAGATGTGCACAACAATTCTTAAGATATTGGATGATGGTTGCTGAATTTAATATCGTCTGTTTTGATTTCAAACCGTCGTCTTTTGTTTTGTGCATAATTTTCGTCTTACCCATCTGTTTTTATATCCGATTTCAAGGGAATGCATATCAGCAAGTTTACAAGAAACCATTATGAATTCATCCTTTGAAAATCAATTTTCCTTTACCGTTTCAAAAACAACATCAAATCATCAAATATCGAAACTATATTAAAATCACATCAAAACCAATTCCTTAAAACCCAGAATTTTGTCTTTGATACATGTCTAAACGAGAGCATATGATCAGATTTTGGTATTTTGAAACATGATGAATAAACTGTTTTTGCGTTGATTTAAATGACACATTAGTTTATAAACATATGTCTACTATTGAAGATATGATGATCAAAATCTTGATAAGATAAATACTAATCATGATAAAATCTGTTAACTATAATAAATGTATCGATTTTGGGAGCGAGTGTGGATAAAAACCAAACTAACATCTACACTTACACCCAGATTCTTATGTTACCTGTTTTAAAATTTTTAGACATCTATAATTGTATAATTAGTCTAATGTCAAATGAAAATGAAAAAGAGAAAGACTTTGAGTGTTTCTTTTTGTCACTAATTATTTGAAGATTTCAGATTTAGATTGCAATAGTATGCAAGATGGTAAAATCGTATTTCTTCCATTAGTGAATCTAGATCATTGGTTTCCTTTTCTTTTAGCATCTATTTTTCATCAGCATCATTTACAACATTAAAGTTAATATTCATTAGAATTAATAGGCATAAAGATGGTCAAATACTATTACTCTTCGATTTTGATTGACTATCTTTCTTGTTTCTTGCATTCTTTATTTTCGAAAAAGAAGAGCTCTATTTCTTCAGAGGATAACCAATCGTGTTTATGGACATGCAGTTCATCATTTCGCTCAGCAAACACTATCTTCTAAAATATAAGAAATATACGTTCGTATGCAAGATCTGGATTTATTAGTAATTATTGACTTATATGTCATTCATTCTTTTTCTGAGAACTAAAAACAAAAATGGAGACTATAACGTGAATCATTGATAAATATCTGGTAATTCTTTATCATAGAACTTGCTTATCTTTCGCCATAAAACGAACTACTTGCTTTTATATATTTGTGAAAAGTCAAATCTACCTTCTCCATCTGGTTTGATATTTTTAAAAGATTAATTTGTGATCATTCAAATAAGATATGACGAACATATGAAATATAATAATGATGTGTCAATGAGTACCTCGCAATACTTTTACTCGTTTCATCTAACTTTTAATTCAATGGTAGTCTGACATTCTTTCATCGTCACCAAACAAGCAAAGTTAATGAGAAGACACTATTGTACCACTCGACAAAATGCTTTCGACAAAGTATCGTCGGCGAAAAGCTTTTCGATAAATCTATCATTCGACGAAAAACATAGGATTCTGACAAAGCAACGTTGTTCCATTTAGTATTCTCTGCTAGACCTTTACCAAAGGTAACTGTGAGATATTTCACGAAATTCTCACTGAAATATGTCAATGGCTTTTTTGAAGTAGGATCCATTTATGTCAACATTGGTTTACTATGTTTAGTTGAATGACTTGGAACTATGCAATGATACAGTTTTTTGTGATTGCTGAAAAACATCCACTTTGATATGAAGATTACAAGATCAATTATACATCTTTATCCGTAGTCAAATCAATGATAAAAACCTATGAAAACATTCAGAAAAGTCTTTGTTGACATATCCCAAAATTCGTTCATTGATTGCTTGGAACTTTTCGATGATTGTAAAAGGTATGACTTGATAAACAATATGACCAAAGAGGAACATTGGTTTGTTTCTCTATAATTTGATGTAAAAGACATCGAAAAAGTTCTATTTTCTGTTTCCCGTAAAATCTTAATAAGTGGCCCATGATCAAACAACTCTAATTGTATGTTTTTTTCCTATGAATCAAGAAGAGTTTTAGTCTATCAAATGATGTTATCCTTTACGAAACGTATCATTTCATGTGTGAATAGAACAACAGATAAGATAAAGGATAACATCAAGAACATGCAGCTAATCGAAAAAACGATATGCACTTGTGCATGCTGCTATGACTCTTTCAATACTATTCAACTATATTGTATTGATGATCGACTTTTTTATCTAAACTTTTCCGAACGATTCTGTCAACTCAGTAAGGAGTACATAGAAATTTATCGTGGCGATACTGGAGATCTCGCATGTTTTGATTGATTCGTTGGTTCGAGTTATTTCTAGCGTTCGTTTTTTATCGATATGATCAAGTTAGAGGTTTTCTCTTCGTGTTCGATGCCATATCAGAAAAAAAAGAGCACGAATCTAAAGATTTTTATTGACGATTAATATCTATTTATTGTTTTCGTATTTATTGTCAAAAATGGAATGTCATTAGAGTATAGAGATTTTTAAAATGCACAATGAACTTAATAAATTTCAAGTGACATATAGTCAAGCACATCAGACTCCATACTACATCTCAGTCTCTGAAAAAGAAATTAACGTCCATATCTGAACCAACCATTCAGTGGCCAGTACTATTGCACGTTTTTTATGATACCAGCAGTTTTATTAGTAGTAGAAGCAGGTCTTTTAGTATCCATATTATACTGGGGCGTGCTCTTTGTAGTCGCATAGGGACGTATAACAGACTGATAAGAAGTTGAATTTGGCAAGACTTTTGATAAGTTTTGACCAGTATTATTATATTGATCGTATTGTGTTATAGTTGCTTGAGACATCCTAGTTGTTAGTGGTTGCTTTCGTGGCTGTATTGAAAAGTTCGGATTCCCTGATACTTCTTGCTGTGATAACGGCTTTAAAGACTGTGCATATCCTAATACTGGTCCATATGATGGTTGTGTTAAAGAGTGCGGATCTTCTAACACTAGTAGCCATTCAGCAACGCAAGAAATTAAATTTTTTGCATAGATTTGTTGCTTCCATTCTTGAGGAATTTCATTAGAACCATAGTGAGCACCTGCTAGTTGTCCATAAATAGCTCCTGTTGTATCCGTATCATCGCCAAGGTTCACTGCTTTCAGTACTCCTTTTACAAAAGATTTCTCATCACTCCAAAATGCCCATAAAGCTGCTTCAAGTGATTTAATAACTTGACCGCTACCTCGAATTCCCATTTCGTATCCCTCTTTTCTGAATGAACCTCTTGCTACAGCAAGTACTTCTTCATGAAGTTCATTGTTTCCAAACCAATCTCGATGTGTTAAGTAGAAGTTAGGATCGAGTAATTGTTCTTTGGTCTTGCCTTGTATGGCTGCAACGATGAGAGCTGCATAGTAACGACATGCATCGATTGCTCTTTGATCACCATGTGTGAGACGAGCACTTTGCCCTGATAATTCGACGGCCTTTGCCGGTTCTCGATGGAAAAACAGCGGTACTGGCGCAAGACGCATTAATGCACCATTACCACTTGCATTTTGTTGACCACAGTTGACGTCAAAGCCTGATGAACGTATCTCTTCATGTGAATAGCTGTCCAGTTGTTCTTCACTTATTCTCCAGCGTTGTTGAAGCTCATTCTGACGTCGACAAAACTCATCCAATGATTTATGTGTTGCTCTGCCAATATCAAAGCAGCGTCCGATTGAAGATAAATAGCCATGCTTGTACCACCACTTGTAGCGTACTAATTGATCATATGGATCAAATCCTTTCCGACTAATGAGTGACGAAGCAAGACACAATGCCATAGAAGTATCATCTGTCCATTGCCCAGCTTGAAGACCCCACGTTCCTCCAGATTGCATGCCTTGCACAGGGCGATCGACAAGATATTGTCGTGGACGAAATTCAACACTTGCACCTAGTGCATCACCAACAGCAAGACCCAACAGAGAACCTTGGAATCTATCAATTATTGTCGAGTGCAGTAACTGATTGGATGGTGATCTGCATAGAATTTGTTCTGGAAGTAGCTTTTCCTTAGGAAGAGGAAACTTAAAGGTTTCCATCGGAAGAAAATCTAAAAGATAAAAATATGGATCGATGAAAAATCAATTCTTTAAGCCTATACAGGAAAAAAGACTTGTATCCATAATTTTTGCCTATCTGTAAAATATAATCTACATGGTTAGAGTTTAGGCGTAAGTGTAGTTAAAGTTTTGAATGTGGGTTATGGGCGGGTGAAAACAAGAGCTTCATCTTAATCTTTGCCCAAACCAAAAAATTCATTTTCGTTTTTATATTTTTTTGAAATTAATATCAATATTTTGCGCTTATTTCTCTAAGTCATAGTGTATACATTTCTTAGAAGCAGCAACTGATCATCGTCTGTCTTATTTATATAGTTGCTTAGATTCATCTATAAATTTCTAGATATTTCTATGAAAAAAATAGGCTTGAGTCAAAGTTCAAAGACCGAAGGATAACTAAGGTTATCAAAAAAACAACTGTGAAATATATATCGGTTTTAAAGTGGATAAATACTCGTTTTCAAAAATATGAGAGGATATTTTTTTTATAAATTGTAATAGAAGCAAGATCGAGGATACTGAAAACGAAGATGCATCGAATTATATATAATAAATTTTTCTAATTGATGTTTTGAAATATTTTCAATCAACTTTCTAATAGTTACTATATCTATTTAAATGTTCGTATAAAATGCCTGAAACTCTTGAATGGTTGATGCTAAAGATCTGAGTATAGCATAAGTGTAGATCTTGAATTGGTATTTTAGATGAACATGCAATAATTAAAAATGGACTGTAGGTCATGTCTTGCAATACATTCGTTTTTGAAATTATCGCTTAAAAACTTGAAAATCTATACCTTACGATTTGAAACATCCTTAATGATAAATACATCAGCTATCTCTATCCTGTTTCGATCAAAATTTATTCGAAAGATATCTACTCGTTTTTCTTCTAAAACGAACATCAATCGAATATTTGTTTTGACGCATATTAAAAGTGACTCATAGAAACATTTACTGCGTCGACTGTCTCAAACAAAACGTTACAATATTTTGTCAAACTTCGCTTATCTATTAATGCATCTGAGTGTTTTCTGCTGTGAATCGATCGAATAGAAATGCTCAATACAGAATGACACATAATTACTTGTTATTGAAAAAGAAAAAGAAAACTAAAGACAAATTGTCACTGAGAATAGCGCAATATGTCCTTTATCATATTATAAAAAATGATTCTTTTTTCTTCAATGTCAGTCAATTTTCTTTGAATTTCGTCTTCACTAATAATATTCAAATTATACTTTCGTAGTTTGTGTCACCCACTATCAATTTATATACGAGTCATGGTCATCAATCACTAGGAAAAAAAACACAAGAGAAACATTGTTCGTATCTTACTTAGTTACTGTCTACTAGTCCAAACTGCGTCGTTGACATCGTTGCTATTTGGTGAATATTATATCCTCTGATGCGTTGCAACTGAAATCACACGTGTTCTTTTTTTTCGTTTACCTTTATGATTTTTTTTTGCTATTAATGACAAGATATACTGCAATGCAAAAACAAACACTAAAGAAAAATAAAACGAAGCTGAAGAAAGAGTGTACATCTTCAAATGGTTTCAAAGGGAAAGCGAAAATTAGTCAAAAAAAAATACTCGAACGAAAGAATGTGTGGGGATGCCCATATGAGTAAACTGTGTATCCACACCCTCACAAAATTTCTTGAATTCATTAATATTATTGAATCACAGACTAAATTATTTATCTATATGTAATTTTGTAATCATTTTGTTCAAATATTTACATAGTTCATCATAATTGAATAATAATCTTAAATTCGTTGGATTGATTGTAATGCATGATAATTTCAGTGATTTTTTTAATATTTCTAATAATTCTTTTGTTGATATTATTATTTCATACATAAACATATCTAAATATTTTAAATGAGATAAATTAATAATCATTTTCAAATCCTAAATATCAATTAGATATTGATTCAATTTTGAAGTTATTAATATTAATGAGTCAACATTTGTCTATTATAATTGCATCATCTAATGTTAGATAGGTCATCTTGCTAAATAGATTCGAATTATTATTTAATTTACTATGAAATCTTTTAATATTCAATTCTAATTTATATCTATTTGATAAATAAGGTATCGTATAAATAAATGCTAAATATTATTAAAATAAGTATTCATAATATACCATTGATATTGTTTACACCAAAAATCATCCTGAAAAC